CGACGTTTAATTATAATTAATAAGCACTTAGGATAGCAATATTTCGCAGCTAACTGCTGCTGCTGCTTCTTCTCCTTCTTCTTCTTCTGTCTTCGCTACTTTATGTAACTGATTAAACTGGCAAAAATTGAAGTTAAAGTTGTGAGCTATAAGTCGAAAACGGATTTTACGCTTCACAACTTTTAATGGCAATCAGCTGGGAACTGTAGAGTGAGAGGGGATGCAAGTAGAGATAGAGAGAACGAGATAGAGAGAGAGTGAGGATTTTTGATGCCGACATCAACGGTATTTCGGCATCAAAATGTGCGCATAATGTGGCTCTTTAATGGATTCCATTGCATACATTTTGGACGCGCGCAGCCTGCAGTAGCAGCAGCAGCAGCAGCAGAAGCCGCCAGCGAAAGGCGAAAAAAAAAATTAATCCAGAAGCGAAGTAAAAACAACAAAAATGTATTCAACGCCCTCTGAAAAATGGCATCTCATGCAAATTGCCAACGCGCTGCGTGCGATTTGCGGCGCCCCACGCTGCGGCATCATTGCGGCATGTTGCCCAGTTTAATTTATGAAGGCGTCAAGGGGCAGACAGATGGGCGGACACCCATGGATCGCCCCACTGCGCGGCGTGTTGTTTTCATTTTGGTAAAAATTAGTTCGTAATTTGGGGGAAGCTGCTGCAAACGTTACAGCAATTGAGAAAATCGAGATACATTTGCGGATAATTAACTATAAAAGAGACGACAGCTGACTATCGATAGGGGCGATTACTGATTCGATTACTGCAGCCGTTCTTGGACATTAGCTGAAATGGACGTAAATTCAAATAAAATTTAGCATTTGAAAACGATTTCCATTGGCTTTCAGAATTTAATTCAATTAAATTATAATAGATCCCACATCTTCTTCGTAATCAGATTTCACAGATTTCCCATTGGCAATTAATTTTCAATGTCAAGGACTTAATTAAATCAAGTTTCAATTTGAAATTTCTCACAATTATCTCAACTTAAATTTTAATAGAGCTGTCAATCAGTTAACCAGAAGAGCATTTGTAACACTTCTGAATTTGATAATTCAATTTGGCTTGGATATCAATTAAAGCTTCCATCCATCGGCACACTTAAAGCTTTCCTTCCCCACAGCGAAACAAATGCGACATCCAAGCACATTATAGAAAGCCTCTGGCAGGATAATGAAAATTTATTGCTTGGTTTTCGGGAGGAGCTCGCACAAGCGAACGACCGTAGTGAGTGCAGCAAATCTGTCAAACAATTGGCTCAAAGCCCGGCTACAATTAAAACTAATTATATAAACGCGCGCGTGGAGCGTGGAAGTGTTGAGTGAAACCACTTTCAAATAAATGTCAAAGTGTTAGAATTTTCATAAAGTGCTGTTGCCAACTTTTCCAGCTGTCTGGGGGATCGGGCGTACAAGTAACTTTTCTAATGTAAAAGCCAAACAGTGTTGCGATACAATTATTTTTAGGCCAGCCAAAAATGAACTAGTTCCTACTGGCTTCTAGCCCATAATCTAGGTTAAGGTTTAACGATGACTGCGCTATAGAGTCGAAGACAGAAGCCGCAATAAATGAATTCAATTCAATAAAAAAAAAATGTTCCTAATAAATATTTAATTGTGCTCGATCTAATACCTTCGCAGAGTGAGACAACATTTTTCTACAGAAATATTTCTGCTTGCACTACTTGCTCTCACAGCTAATGCCATGGATATTAACATACACTCCCCCTGTATTTATCCCTGTATTTTGTCTGTCATTTTAACTAGCTCTCTCACAGCCCACACACACACTCACACATTTAACAGAATCTTCACTCTCTGGATGAGTGCGGATAACTTATGCGTATGGATGTTGTTGTGCATTTACTGCGCTACATTTCCTAACATTACCTTATTTTGGAATAAAAGTGATTAGAGCTTTATTTACATTTTTATTTGCAGATCTTATAAGTTTACAGAAATTGCGACGTCCACCAACTCGATTGCCATTGGCTAAATCTTCTTTAAACCGGCTTTGGCTCTTATGCAAAAACACCCATACATATATACACACACAACTAGATTTGTATCTCTTCGTATAGTCAACGGACTCACACCACTTGACCTTGCATAAGCACTCTCGGCTGCATGCGAAACTAAGATAACGGGATCAAAAGCATTACACTCCGAGTATGAGGATGAGTTGCCACTTGACTGTTAATCTCTCAACTTTGAAACAGAATTGAAAGCATAAGCTGGCAAGGGCGTTACGAGAAGCAAATAAGTTATCTGTCATGCTCCAAGCATCCGGCCAAAACAACATAAAATGCACAGAGAAATTCCATGACATGTTACACAGCTACTATATGCATACATACGTATGTATGTGTGTACATATTATACAGACAGTTTATAATTAGAATTTGTAAAGTTGAAGCTTTTCATTGTAAGCTTAGCTTATTTTTAACTCATTATGCACAAGTTCTGATATGTGTAAAAGGATGATAAAACAGTGAACCAGTTCGCTAAACCCAGTTATTGCGCAGCGCTGACAAACGTCTTATGTGATTTTATAAGTTTTTGCGCCCAACGCATTTCCTAAATGAAATTAATGCAAATGCGACGCGACGCGAACCGACTCGTCGCTCCCTGAAAATGTTAAGCGGAAGGCGCGAGCTTTACACGACCATTGCCTGTTGTGTATGTGTAAATATGTTCGTGTGTGTGTGTGTGTGAGTGTGAATAATGTGTTTATTTTAGCGCTTTTTGTGCAAGTTTTCGTCTGGCTAAGCCTTTTTGTTTGCCAGCCGGAAATTTAACCCATGTGTATAAAACTGTGCCGCAATTTTATTGTGCGAAAAATACGGTGACAAATGCTTTCTGTGTGTGTTTGTTTGTGTATGTGTGCGTCAGTTTATGGGTTCCGGATAAACTTGTTGACCTTTTGCCGCAATTACAGTTTTGTGTGTATGTGAAGCAAGCTTTGTGCTTTGCTTAAGAATTTTAATTATTTCTAAAATTAAACTCAATTATTTAAATGCCGACGAAAATAATAATAGAAACACTTTTTTATAAGTTTGTGATGCAAAATTAATTATTTATTGAATTACATAT